ATCATGGTGATGTCTTCAACCCAGTGCTACCTGGAACTGAACACTGAGTCCCTGAGATGATTAACTAGTGCCAATAGGGGGTGGAAGTGGAGTCTAGAACTCTCCCTCTGGGACTCTTTCCCTACGCATCAGAATACCCAGGTTAGGCCCTCAGTCACAGAACCATCTTCCTGCATTAGAGTGGCCAGAAAGCAGACTTCTGGCCTTCTCTGCACCCTTCTGAAACATAACCAGCCTGAGGTGTTGCAGATCCCGGCACACCCCCAGGAACCTAGGCGGGGGTCTTCAGTTCTGAAGAGCAGAGGTGTTTGCCAGCCCAGAGCATGGCTCCAGGCATCGCACATCTCAGCTCCTTTAACTGTCACAACAGGTTAGGATTTTATCGCAGTGCACGGGAATGTGAACCCCCAAGCTTCTTAGTCCAAACTCTGAGGAAGAAATGGCCAGCCTCACACCACTCCCCTTCTTGCGCTCCCTTCCTCTCTAACTCCACTTAGAGGCGGCTCTTGATCAGACAGCGCACGGTACTGTCCTCTGCACAAAGTCAAATGTCAGTAGATTCTCCTAATATTCAAACTCAGCCAAGTCTTTGTGAACTTCAGGGTTCACAGAGAGCCAGGAGTTTTGCACACACAATAGATTCTCTCTGCTGGCAGAGGCTGTTCACCAAGTACCACAGAACTGACCTACAGAGTGACAGCTGTTGGCAGCACGTGCTCACAGCAGCTGTGCTATGAATGATGTACTGCATAGTGGGCAACATGGTCAACACCAGGACCGAGACTATAAAGAAGGAAATGTCATGTCACAGGCCAGGTCTCATGTGCTTCGCTAGTATGAAGAAAAGGTAACAACAATGAAGGGTTTGAGTAGAAAAAAAATGTATGGCAGATGAAGCTCAAGGCATACAGACTTACTTAAATAAGGGAAGTAACAGGAATAAAACTCTAGATTGCTTCTCATCTGTTAAAAAGGAGAGGAAGCAAAGTGTTAGAAATGGGAATGAGCGAAAGCTAGGAGAGAATCCGAGTGAGTCTGCAAGGTCTGTGTTGGGGAGCATGCTTTGCTAAGCAGAGTAGGAGATCTCTTGACATGTGTCATCTTTCTGTTCGGATCTGAGGGAGAGTTGTAGGTAGACAGAAGTCGACTGTGTAGGGAGCCAAAGGGGGAGCCACTCATATGATAGAGAACATTCTAGATCACTGTTCTCAAAGAGCAGAATCAACAAGGGAGTCTTAAAAATGCAGACTACAGGAGCCCCCACTTCAGACTCAGGATCAGGATTACCAGGGAGGGCCTGGGAGTATGCATTCCCAGCATTTGCACTAAGCTTCTCATGCCAGAGAGTTTGAGAATCCCGGCTTCAGGAACATCTGTCTCTCCTTTGCTGTAGTTCACAGCAGGACTCTGAACTGGCAATTCTTTATTAAAACAAACAAGCTATGAACCTGCTGGGGGAATTCTCAAGCTTCATTTCAGGGGCAATAAATAATTTGGCCAGAGGACTATTTTGGTCATAGAGCCTCAGCAAGCAGTTGTTACACACCCACTATGTCAAGACAGTGAGGTACACTCTCAAACTAACATCCTCTTCTACATTTGGACTAAGCTCAGCCCAGTTCCTCAGTGAGAACACTCCTCTTGTCACCAGACTTCAGTTACTAGAGTGACAAGGCTGACCACAACCAGTCCTTCACGGATACTTTTTAACTCTCTGTTTCCTTCGCCTTCAAGACCCCACTCAGAGACTTCACTTTTCCCAGGTCCTTTCCTCTCTGCACTTCACCACTACAAAAAGCAGGACTCCCAGGGTTCCTGGCACTCTCTGCCCTGAGGCAGGTGCTCTACTTGGCCCTTTCCCCTCCCTCTCTCCCTACCTTCCTAGCCTCCTTCCTCATCACGAGTTGACCCTGAATTCCTAGCCCTCCCAACTGAACTCAGATATCTCCATTCACATGTTCCATAGCTCCTCATGAGGCCCATCCCCAATGTACCCATCATCCCCTCTACTTTACATGTGACCTTCCTCCTAAAGTCCTTCTTCTGGCTTGTCACACATGGCTGCTCACATCAACATCCCAGGACCACAGCATCCAGCTAGTGACAGATCCAGGCAAGTTGACCTCCTAAATCTACCAGCCCCCTCCTCTATGCCTATTGTCACTATCTGCTGGACCTTGCAACATTTCATTTTCCGTTCGTAAACACTAAGGCACTGTCTGAGCCATTTCACTCATCCTGCAAGAATCCTCTCCTGCTCTCAAAGACTCAAGGAACTCCTCATCGCCTGTAGTTAAGGCTAACTGTTGGAATGAGCCAAGAGGCCCCCGGTACTTGGCACTTGTTGTTCACTCAAAACAGAGCACAGCATAAAAAACACAATCACAGGGCTTTACACATGTACGTTCCTCAGCTGGAAACACCTGTTTTGACCTTGAAATCACCTCTCATCAGACCTTTCAGTATTCATGGACATCTATCCATGCATTATCTTCCCTATCAGTCACAGGTCATCTCTTAAAGTACCCCAAATGCAGTACCCGGCTCTTGGTGTGAATGTTTGCCAAATGACCACATAACCCCAAGACGTCCTACTAGAAGGAGAACCTGGAGAGGGGAGACTGAGAGAAAGGCTGCTATGACAGTCTAGGCAGAAGGCAATGCTCATCTGGGTGAGATGAGGAGGACAGTGACAACAGGAATATTCAGCACTGATGATACCCTATCCCCCGCCCTTCCCACAGCACCCTTCCAAGAATGGTTCATAATATGACTTAACATTCACCATAGCCTATGAGGTAGATTCTGTTTGGGCTATTATTCCCATTTTATAGATGAAGAAACTAAGGCACAGAAAATTGAAACAAATGACTCTGAGACTGGAAATGGGGGATCAATATGATATATGCACAATTAAAATCCCAGACAGGCAGGCGTGGGAGGAGCTACAAGGCTCATGGGCCTCTGCTGTAGGAAGTACTGGCCAGCTGGAGAAGGAGTTAGGAGCTGGAGAAATAAGTCCTAGGAATCGCTTCCTTAGAGGGCTTTCCTTCCATGAGGTGGGACAGAGATGAGATCACAGAGAGACAGAAAAAGAAAGTGAGAGGCCCAGGACTGGCTGCTGGCAGTGTTCCTGCATAAGGAGGAAGAGAGGCCAAAAGCTAGGGAAAATGAGAGGTGAGAGTTTTGTCAAGGTGAGATGCCTCAGAGGAGGAAGAGCAGAGTCCAGGCCACAGCCCTCCCAGGGCAAGCAGAGCACTTGAGTGCACCGTCCAGCTGCGGTGGGGCATGGGTGGTTGGTTTGGAGGGCTCTCAAATCCCTCTTGGCTCCTGCTTCCCCCACCATCCAGCTGGTAGCATCACCCCATCCCCAGGGCAGGGATGATACCACACAATGCAGAGAATGAGCCACAGAGATGTCAAAGATCAAGCCATAAACAAGCCATAAAATTCACCCATTCTGAGTATCCGATTTGATATTTTTTGGTAAATTCTAGTTTTAGAACACTTCCAGCATATTCTGGTGTGACTGAAAACACACTCCCAACCCCCTAGTGTTGTGTGTATCTAGCCATCCCCAAAATGAGTTCAACATTGACCCCTTGTACTCGCCTACCAGGCACTCCTCCTCACAGAGGGGCAGAGGTTGAAGGTCTTAGGTCCAGAGCTTCTCTCTAGGCAGTGACCCCAGGGCGCTCTTGCTTTGGAACAACACTTTTTATTATCTAACACAGGAAAGAGTTCTTCCTTTTATGAGACAAGGTCATGACTCCAATGGCCACACCGACTGTAGCAAAAGCACTCTGCACATGGACTCCAGCCATGCTACCATGCTACCTAGTCCAGCCATGGACCAGTCCTTGCTACCTAGCTCTGAGACCTTTGGAACTTGTCCCTTGTGCATAGGCCCTGTTCATGGCTGTGAGCCATGAAACACAGAAGCTACATACAAACATACCATACACATGTAACAGAGCACTTTGCCAAATACAGGTCTATGGCTAACTGAGAAAAAAAAAAAAAAAAAACTGGGCAAATGGCAGAGAACTCTAAAATGGCATCAGATTTCTTTGGAAGTATCGAAGGTTCTGAGGCATACGGAATCTTCCTCAACAGCAGCCACAGCCACAGGGAGGAGCATCCGTAACCCTCTTGCTTCTAAACCAATCTCATAGGACTAGAAGGAACCAGAGGCAGGGGAAGACAATGGGCTTGGTGAACAAACATGCTTTGTGAAAATCACATGAAGAATGCCAATGTTTTGGCAGGGGAAGGACAGAGACATGATTTTTCTGCAGGCCATGGTGGGGCACTCCAGGCGGCCCCAGGGCTGCCAAGTGCATTCCAGAGCTCTTTCCTTCACATGCCCAGACCAGCAAAGGCCTTTGCATTTGCAATGACTTCACACTCAGCCAAAAGTAAACACACTCTCCATTTTTTCCATGGACAAACACTAACCCCAAATTGCCAGTGTTGGCCTCTGCAATCCAAGTGGAAAGCCGCCTTTCCCAAGGAAATAAAGCCATTTTAACTCAATAATACCTCTTGGCTGCAAAAGAAAACTTTCCTAAAACCTTCCTAGAAATTATTTATCATGCATTTGTGCAGGAGGCAGTGATCACACAAGCAAGCCCTACCAATGGAACAATGGCACTCAAAATATTCACAATGGATGATCCAAGAAGGCTCTCGCCAACAAACACCTGCACTCAAGACTTAAGCAGCGCATCTGTAACACAAACACACAAGATCTGCTGCTCATGCACCCGTACGCACTCCTACAGCTCAAGGCTGCCTGATTGGAATATTCTTTCTGAAAATAGACTATGATAGGGCAGGTGCTGATTTGAATAAAGAGTAAAATGGGCACTGAAGATCTTAGCTGTGCCAAACTCTGGCACCTGTCAAACATGCATCTCACTTCTCTTCCACACAGCAGTCTAAATCCAAAATCTCAATTTTCCACCAAGTAGCAAGAAATGAAGAGGCTCAAGACTTACCAGGTTGGAGTTGGTGGCGTTGGAGTCATCTTCTGGGAAGGGAATATAGATTGCTAAGGCCACACAATTGGCAAAAATAGTCAGTAAAATAATTATTTCAAATGGTCTGAGGAAGGAGTTAAGGAAGTCAATGCGACAGTTAACACAAGTGAAAACAAACATACATCTTTGTATTTTTACATGAATCAAAGATTCGTAAGAATTCTGTTTAAACAATACATTCCAAGCCCCTTGTATTCTGAGAAGAAACATATGCCTTTTAAGTGCTTCTAGTGGACCCCCGCCAAAATTTTTTCCTAATATGTCAAGAGCAGTGGAGGCCAGTCGCGTGCCAGAGTAAACACAGATTTCTAAATATTTCTTCCCTTTTTTATTTATTTAGATTGCATTTGATTTCATTTTCCCTCATGTGGGCCTGGGGTACAGGAGCCCTGCCTGCTCCAGGAGGGGATCCTCCAGAACCTCATTTCCACATGGCTCACCACCAAGGGACCCAAAAACGCCTGGGAGCAGAGAGTGGTAAAGTGGGGTTTTAAGGCAAAGCAGCCTTTCATGGAAATCTGTTGCCTTTGAAAGCAAAGTGCAGGGTTTTCTGCCCACTCGGGGCTCAGGACTCCACAGAGCAAGGCAGGTTGTGTGCCGTGGGTTCAGAGAAACTGGATATTTCCCCTTGCAGGCTCAGGTCCACAAAGGACATGGGGCACGATGGCTCTACAGGGGCCCTCTTTAGTGTGTAAGACCCAACTAACTGATCTTCTTTAACTCTATCTGGGCTCTAGAGCTTCAGCCCAGGGTCCATTTACTAGTAGCAGCATACTCTGATGTTTCCAGGCCATGACTTTTTCATGGAAATACCAGAGCAGGACACCGTAGGCAGAAAGCTAGTGTGACACTCTCCTCTGCTGAAACCAACCCCATACCTACCACTAAAAGTCAGAAAGGGAAACATCACAAGAAGGTACACCCTATGCTCCTACTGCAAAGTTCACAGCCTCTTTCATAGAGCCTAATGGGAAGAAGAGAAAGAATGGAAATTGCTGGGTGGCAGACCAACTAAACTCTCACAAAAGCAACTAACTTTGAAGCAGGAAGAGACCCTAGGTATTATCTAGTTCAAGCCTCAGGTCCAGAGAGGCTAAGAAATGTTTCCAAAGTCTCATAACAGACTAGACTAGAACAAGATTTCCTGATCACCATATCCAGTGCTCACCTCATGCCACAGACAGCCTTCGAGTTCGTGTTCACAGGCCTGCTGAACCCGGCACAGAGTTCTGCACCTGGGGGGAATCTAAGTGACAACCTTCATGATAGATCCCCAGTAGCCCTGTGGCATCACAAAGGTAATTTCATAAACGGGTGCCTTGGGATCACAAGATAACCTACAGGGGGCCTGACCAATCTCCCTTTTACAGACATGGAAAGCATACTTGCCCAAAGTCCCCAGCAGGAGGAGAGCCAGGCCCAGAGTCCAAACAGAGCAACTGACTCATCCTTTACAGCCTGCTACCCCGAGGTAGCCAGGATCCAGTGGCACTGGAGACAGGAAACAGTGATAGGGAGGTGGCAGTAAAGGACAGGAGTTGGCGCTCATCCAGAAATATCACGCTAAGCCCTATGATGGCTGCACTGGGCATGGAAGAGGCAGTAATCCCTACTGTTAAGGAATGAAACTGAAGCACAGAAAGGGTATGTGTTAATATGACCAACGTCATAGAGTCCATGGTTAGAATAGGACCCAGACCCAGAAAGTTGGCTGCAGAATCCATTTTAAGGACTCCTTAGTGCTGGGAACATTCCAGAAAGATAGCCCTCTTACTTCCCAAGCATGTTACCACTTTGCTCAAGACAGTAACCTTCAGTCCAGACCTCAAGTTCATTTTCACTGTCTGGTGCCCTATGGGGCAAGGGCACAGGAAGCAACTGAGCCAGGCCCCATGCACATCCACTCATCACATGTTACCTCTGCCTCTACCAGTCAGAGAAGCCAAGCTTGGAGTGTTCCAAGTGTTGTTTCCCACATCCCCCCTCACCCCAATACAAGCAACCCACCTATCTCCTTATGCTAAAGCACCAGGCTAATGCTGGAGGGTACTGTAGACAATGAGGCAGACAGGGAGAGCTGCAGCTCAGAAGCAAAGGAGAGCCCAGGGAGCCCAAGGTTCTCATGCTACCCTGCAAGGACCACATGAATTGTACAGCTGGTACACCAGGATGTCCCCTTACCTCATCTAGGCAATCTGGATGCAGCACTATGGGCTGCATCCCCTCCCTCTCTCCAAGTGGGAAGACTCTATCCCCTGGGAGGTACAGCAATACCACTCATGCAGTCAGGGTCCCAAATTCAGGTGCCACTGCATCCCAGTAGAGCTGGACTTCCTGAGTATTCATTGGCAGGCATCTATTCCTACCTAGTAGCTATCTAGTGCCATCTAGTCCCTGGCCACACCAGGGACTAGTACCATAGGTTGGGGAGTATAGGAAGTTTGGGTTTTGGATTCAGGGACTCTGAGTTTGAAGCCAATACTGTCACCACCTGTTGTATGAATTAGGGGAAGTTCTTTGGACCTTTGGACCTCCCCCTGTTCTCCTCTGAAGGTGGCTGACTTGCATGGTTCCAGCTCTCCTCACTCCATGGTTCTACCACTAAACAGCTATGAAGGCAGCCTGATGATCTGACCAAGTCCAGTCTCTCACCCACTCATTCAGGGACCAGGTGTGACTTAGCAGACTGAAGTTCTTGGCAGCAGACCTCGCTTAGAACTGCATCCTATTATAGTTACTTTTGGGTGAAGGAACTTAATATTCCAAGAAGGAGTGTTGTTTGCTCAATAGAACTTCAATTCAGCCCAAGGTCATCTTCTTTTATCTTCCACTACCCAATGTTTTTAAATCTTCCCTTAGAAATTCATAAGTGAAACTGAACACTCCATTCTGGCTGATAAGAAGCCAGGCCCTGCCCAAGGGAATCATATTGCAATAATACCCAGCACTAAGTACCAGGGTCCTAGTCTGGGCACATGACCTAGAGAGTCTTATGTGAGGCTTATTTCATCCTTGGTGAGAGTCAGGGATGAACTTTAAGGTCTTTTCCAGTCTAACTCCATGATGCTTACATGTTAAGGGCCTGTGTCCACAGAGACAGTCCAGCTCTTCAAAGGCATGTTTTCTACAGGACCCTCTACTAGTTTCTGTATGTACAGAGTGCACCTGTTTTATTCCAGACCATACTCTCAACTTTGGCCATACCACAGCTATACCAGGAGAGCTCAGAAGAATGCTTGCACAGAGCTCTGACATCTAAAGTTTGCTAAAACTTTCAAGGTGGTTCCATGGCAGAGCCCAGGTTGAGGACCACTGTTCACAGGCCCTGAGCCAAGAGTGGGGGCCACTGACCATAACACTATTATGCATTTCCTGGCCCCTTCACCCTAGAGAGACGTCAGGTTGTAAGCTACCACTACACCATGCCATAGGAAGGAAAGTCATGAAGCACCATGCAGTCACAGGGAACAGAAACTGTTTGGGCCTCCCCCTGGTCTCCTCTGAAGGTGGCTGACCTGTGTGGTGAGAGGTTCTCAGTAAGCTCAGCTGGCAGCTCATTCCACACAAATCAAAGACTCTTTGTCTCTAAGGCCACTTGTGACAGGTTCAGAAACCAGAAGTGTTTCAGACTTTAGATTTCTTTAGATTTTAGAATCTTTGCATAAATATGAGAATATGAGAGTGCACCTGTTTCATATCTTTGCATAATGAGAAATCCTAGGGATAGGACCCAAGTCTGAATGTGAAATTCACTTACGGAACATATATATGTCTCATATATAGCTTATATACACAACAAACAATATTTTTAACGTGCCTGCATTTTGACTGCAACTTGTCACATAAGAACAGGTAAAGGATTTTCCACCTGTGGCATCATGTTGACACTCTAAAGTCTTAGATTTTGGAAGAATTCAGATTTCAGATTTTTGGATTAAGGATGCTTAGAGTTCCAGGAAATTCCAGAGCCTTATCGTCTGAGACAGCGACTCATGGAGTCTAGGGGGAAGACCTAGAACTCTTTCTCAGGCTCACTAAGGCAATAAGTGTAGCCCCACATAGCCAACACAAGCCTGTGAGCCTGGTGAGCCCCAGAGGACCAGCACCCAGGTACAAACCCCAGGAACATCCTGGCCAGCCAAGATCATAAAGGATATTTCCATTCAACGATGCTGATGCATGCCCTCCTGATAGGGTTCTTCAGAGTCAGGCAGAGCAGGGCACGGGGCGGCCGTGTGGCGGTCGTACCACCCTGCTTCTTGGGTTTCCCATACTGCTGCCGCTTCCGCTGTGTGGAGCTGACCGTAGAGATGGTCGCATTGCCAGCACTGCCCATCAGCTTGGCCTGCCGGGCGGCATCGATGGCTGCCTGCCAGGACAGGGCTGCCCCTGGAGTAGGGATGTGCTCAGGGGCGAGCCCCGCTGCTGCATTGGCATTCATGTTGGCATGGGCTGGGCGTGGGCTCCCATAGTTGGAACCTGCAGAAAGAGAGAGGACAAGAGGGTGACCACAGTGAAAACAGGAGCACCGGGCACACACTTTGGAATCTGCACACAATTTTTTAAAATTTCTTTTTTTCAAGCCATTGCAGGAAGTTGGAAGGTGACACATGGAAACACTGGTATATGAAGCTCAGGAATAAAGCCAGGAAATCTATTCTAGGCCCTGCTTGACCTAGCTGAGTTGGATGACCTTGGACATATCACTCCCCTCCTCAGTCTCACTGCCTGGGCTTAGGCAGACAAGAAACGAGACACGTGCCTTACAACACCCACAGACCTTCACAGCACTGAGTTAGTGCAAAGGGGAGTTCAGGAAATGAAATTCATTGCACCACCTGGGCCCCAAACACATATTTATGAAAACACACAAATAAAGGGATACTCATTAAATAGAGTAGACAGGTTGTTTAAGGAGGGTGATGAGGAAAATGAGGGTAAGATACTGGAATTAAGAGGAAGGAAAAATGAATGACTGATTACATCAGTGCATGAACTGATGATGCAAAGACACAATGCACTAAAGAATCTGATTTACTCAACTCTACACCTGAGCTGCAATAGCAGAAATAAACACGATAAAGTGAGGGGTTAGACTAAAAAGTAAGGCCACATTCACTGATATAAGTTGGATGTTGTATCCCCCTCAAAGGCCAATGTGTCCTTGCCATGGTTCCCAGGTAGGCATGCCTGGAAGGTAATGGAATTTTTGTGATAGGGCCTTCCTCAAGCCAGTTTCCTCTACCACTAAAATGATCAAGTTACTTCAGCACCTTAGCAGTACCTCAACTGCCCAGTTGAGTCGGGTCTCTATCTCATGCAACCAAAGAAAGACCCAACCGATACGCTTGCACGGTGCAAGTTTATACTTGCTGGATTCTAAAGTCTACATCCTCTCCATCACAGCAACAGCAGATAAATTTCAAGTGTTATGTCAAATGATTGACATCAATGTCCAAAATGCTGATGAAAGGATTCTGAGACTTTTCTGAGCACAACAGGATAGTTTATCATGATAGATTAGCACTGCCTACCACAGACACAGAGGGTAGGGAATGGAAAATACACACATGCTGTGTGCTTGTCACTCATTGGATACCAAGCCAAACACATCAGGCCTTCTTTAGTACCTGATGTCATCAGCCACCTGCACTACAGCCATCTGGTCTCTGGCATTAGACCTCAGCCTCACTCCAAGGTCCTGGAAAGGTATCTCGGGCACCTACTTCCTGGCCATACTCCCAGCATAGCTCGGACTCTTTTCTCACCCTCTTCACTCTCTTCCCTTCTCTGTCCAGTAGCTCCAAGCAGCTGCTGCACACAAGGGGCTCAGCATATTTAGCAGGACCTTGGGCTTGTGAAGAGCAGACCTTTCCTAGACTGAGAAGATCCCTCTCTCACACAGCTTGTCAGAGCCCACCCTGCTCTCACTATATAGATTCTGAGCATAAAGAAAGGTAGACCCTAAGAGGACTGGGATCTCAGGCTTCCTTGTAAGACCGCAGAATGGAAAGCTCGGAGTGTGGGTTTGAATTAGCCAAGGCTCCTGAAGTGGAGCTGCCCTTCTAAGCAGCAACACTCAACACACAAGAAAACAAAGGAGCACGTGACTCATTAAAGGTCACAAAACGAGACAACAGAAGAATGTCTGCTGCACTCTGGATTCAGTGAACTGCCAGACTGTGCTCCCACGTCCTCAGCTCTCACACATTCCATACACAAGCACATGTGTGTGCATGCAAGCACAGTGGCACAGTGCACGCCTCCTCATGGCCTTTATGGGCTCTGAGGAGTAAGGATGCACTTTTATATTTAACACACAGCTTCCCCAACACTAGCAGCCCCTTTGGTAACCCCCAGGTCACCTCCCTGGTGACTGAGATTGGAAAGTATCCCTGTTTTCATTTGCTGCACTGGAGCAAAGTGGCCTTGTCTCCCATTTTAGTTTGCTAGAGTGAGGAGAAACCTAATTCTACCTTGTTTGGTCTATGGCATGGAATTGTCTTTATAGACTCTATTTGGCTTTGACAAAATGTAATAGAATCTTTTAACTCCTGGATTAACTGCTCTTCCCTCACATCCATAAAAGCAGCCATGTTCCCCTGCTGTCAGCCTTGCACACCCCAATTCTCTACCCACAGCAATGCCTCACACTGGCCTTTAGTCATTCACCATCCCTCTCACACCAGCTGCCCATTCCCAAACCAATCAGTGTCAGGTGCTTTTGGGAAACTCTTGGAAAGAGGGCAGGAAGCACTAGCATAAAAACTAGCAAGCTGTCCTGGGTACCCTGAGCATAAGACAGGATGTTCCTAGCAAACCAAGGTACAGTTCTGATGGCCAGGCCTCTCAGGAGGACTCCTAGCACCTTCACACTCTATGGGGTCCATTCCCGGAACACCAGAATATCTCTGGAGCATACCATCTGAAGAAAGCACATGTGAATAGGCCTGGGGTATCCAGAGAGTGGAATGTCAACTTCTCCTTAGCCAGAGGAGACAAATACAGTCATCCTAGAGCACTGCTCTAGCCTCTGAGTGATAAAGAGCACGGCCACCATACACACAACCACACACAGGAAAGACAGAGGTGTGATCTCTAAGGTTGACCTCTAGGAAGGCTGTATTTCAAGGTCACTCTGACCTTGGCTTCTCTGAGTCACTTCCCCACCCAGAACTGAGATCCTAGGAGTGTCTCCAGGTCATCCTTTAGTCCCAGGCATAGGAAACTTCCATCTCTATAGCAAAGATTCTGAACCCAGAGGAGCACCATGAAGGTAAGGCAACCCACATTATTCCTCTGATGGCTTTTGTTAGCACAAAATCACCACCCAACACAAAGACCAATTTTCAAATTATAAGGCTGATTCAAAGTGCTGCCTCCTGGCTGCCAGCTGAACCGATGCCACCAGCTAACTCTGCTCTGGCTCCAGCTTTACTGGGCTATAGCCACTGATGTACTACTGTCCAATAGCACCCCAGACCAACAGCTCAGCAGACCAGGTCAAATGGAAACTGGTAGCAGCCTTACAGCAGCAACCTCTTCCAGACATAAGAAAATGATTCCAATGGGCTCAGTTCCCATGAAGACAGTAGCATCCCTGCCTACTACACATAGGTGCTGCCTCTTCCCAAGGGGACCAGGACACAAGCAGGACTCCAGCACAGACTGCTTAGTCTCATACCACTCTATCCTTCAAGGGCCTAGTAAGGAGTCCCAGTCTGGAGATGGGCATATGTTTCCTCAGTATCAATGAGTACAGCTTGTACTTCAGGCCTCCCAGTCAGGGAGACGTTCGATGATGAAATAGTGAATTTTAAAATTCATCCGCATCCCAGAAGATGTCCAGCCTCTATTGTTGATGACTATAATGATGATGATGCCACAATAAGCAAGAGTATTGACATGGTTTGTCTCTTAAATATCCCCTAAAGGCCCACGTGATAAAGGCTTGGCCCTTATTCCATTAAGGTGGTGAATCCTTAAAAGGTAGGGTCTGATGAGGGGAACATGAGTCACTGGGGGTATGTCTTTGAGGGAATATTGGAACTCCACCCCTTCCTGTCCTTTGCTTCTTGGCTGCCATGAGGTGAAAGGTCTTCTCAAACCATACTCTTTGACCATGATTTAGTGCCTCAACCATAAGCCCAAAAGCCAATGGACCAGGAACTGAAACTTCTAAAACTGTGAGCCAAAGTAAATGCTGTCTCTTTATAGGCTGATGGTCTCTGATATTGTGTTGTGGTGACAGAAAATGAACTGACACTAAATGGACTACAGGTAAACATTAGAAATGTACCTGGTGGAGTACGCCCATCAACACACCTTAAGCACTGCACCCTTCCACTTACTTCTACTTCCCATGTCATCATGCTTATCCAGGCCACCATCCATTTCTTATCCAGAAATGCTGCAGAAATCCCTGACAGTTCTCATTTCCAGGCTTGCCCATCCCTAATCCAATCTCACTCACAGGTCAAAGTGATCTTTTAGAAATGTGAATCTAAATCAGGCCCGGTCATTTTCCTACTAAATTCTTTAAAAATCCAAACTCTTTGCCATGGTTCTTGAAGCCTGTGTAGGCTGGCCTGGGCCAACTTCCCTGAGCTTATCATGTACTGGCCTCTTTTCACCCTTCAGTTGTGCCCAGTTCTTGTCAGCCGCAGTGCATTCACATGTACATAGAATGTTCTTCCCCCTGCTTTTTGCTGGTGATTCCTCTTTACATTTCCTCTTTACACTGAGCTTAAATGATTCCTCCTTAAAACTCCAAACCCAAGGAAGCAGAACTCAACCAGCAGCTTCCAGTAATGCCCCCATCTCCCTCCTCCATACTACCCTTAAATAAAGATGCCCAGATCCCTGGGCAACAGAAAGGGATCACCAATGAGCCCCAGGTACGGAAAAGGTATGGGCCTTTAACAGCATGGTCTTCCACTGTGGCCTCTGTGCCTTCTGCCATGGATAGAGCAGGTCACTCCTAACGAGCACCTTAATGACTGACAGAGTAGAAAGTAGGTCACCTCAGGAAGGAGAAAGATGCAAATGGATGTTGTGCTGAAGTCTGGCCACTCAGAGTCTCTGCAGTGGAGAGGAAAGGTATCTTCTTGGGCCAGGGATCACCTAAGACCTTTGCAGATGTCCAACTGTCTTTCACATATGTCACCCCACCATGGTGACAAGAATCCTAAAGGGCTCAGCAGGCACTCTGAAAGAGAAGCTGCACTTGCTTGAACCAGTACAGGCCTGCTGACTAGAAAACAGGAGTTGCCACGTCACCCCCATGACCAGGGAGGACCATGACTCCTGGTCTTAGATCAGCTAAGACTCTGTGAAACTCCAGCACAGAGGCACTCATCCATAGATGAATCCAGTGGGCCTCAGAAGGGTCACCCTGTAGTATGAAGTGACAGGTTGATGGTCAGCTCACAAGCTACTCCAGCCTCTTTCTCCTGCCTTCCTGAACTACAGAGGTAAGA